TTTACCTGGACCTGATGTAGATGATAAGATTCTGGACTTTTCACTGATTCTGTAATGGAATGAGATTTTGGAGTCCTTGTGCAGAAAGCACTTTATTTTGCATGTGGAAAGTGACAAAGATTCCCTCTTTGAATAAACTTTAGTTAGACTCATCTGAGCCCTCTGTTGACTAGGCCTTGACTTGTGTGCCTCAATATCCATCTTTGCTTCACCTGGTTTTGGTAGAAAGCCTATCAAGTTGGTTTAGCAAGAATCCCTCATCCTAGATATCTGGTCAAATTCCTCATCCCCTACTATGCCTCATGTAATATTAGATTGCTCTGGCCTGCCCTCACTAAGAATCCTATTAGGACAGTTTAGCAGAATTACCCTAACCATTCAGGAGTTTTCTATCAACTGACACTCTAGCCCTTGGGTATATATTGTCATTTTTCCTTGCTGTATTAGTGGTTGAGTCCAATCTCTCTCACCTACTGAAAAACCTCTAGTGCAGCCGTCCTTTGAATAAAGTCTTCCTTACCATTCTTTAAAAGGTCTCAGAATAATTTTTATTTCTTTGACACGGGAATGTAAATAATTAGTGGCCAGAAGATGGACTGTGATGGTTTTCAAATCTCCACAAATTCTCTAATAATCCAGAGGTAGAGACTAGTTCCCCTCCCCATGAGTGTGAGCTGGGTTTACTGGCTCACTCCTAAGGAATAGAATAGAGCAGAAGTGATCATGTGCAACTTCAGAGACTGGGTCTTTAAAAGCACTGTGATTTCCTGTTTGGTCTACTGTCTCTTGAATCGTTATTCTAAGAAAGTTACCTGCCATATTCTGCGGACACTCAGCTAAGGAGACACCCACATGGCAAGGAGCTGAGGCTTCTGCCAACAGCCATATGAATGAGATTTGAAGTGGATCCTTCCATGCTGATCAAGCTTCTCAGTTCTGGTTTGACATCTTGATTGCAGCCTTATGAGAGACCCACAGCTGGAACCACCAAGCTAAGCCACTCCTTCTTCCCTCACCCACTGGAAACGTGAGATAATAAATTCTTGTTGTTTTAAGCTGCTAAATTTTGAAGTAATTTTTTACAAGCCAATAGATGACTAATGCACAGTGGAACAATAATGCGATGAATGGCTGGTTTCTCACTAGAAACAAGGGAGACCAAAAGAAATTGGAGCAATATATTCAAAGTCAAGATCAAAAAAATGGGGCCAAACAAGAATTCTATATCGACTGAACATGTCCTTCAGAATAAAAATGATTTTTTAAATTATTCAGATTGTTTTTAGAATTCAATTTTAATTCTTTTATTAGCTTTTTTGGTTTTTTTTTATTTTTATAGTGGTTGTCCTAGGGATTACAATATACTTCCAGTTACTAATGTACTATTTCACAGAAATATAGAGATCTTGCAACCATTTAGGCCTCTATATCATGCTCATCTTTTATGTTATAGGTGATATATGTAATACACCTGCATGGGTTACAATCCCCACAAGAAAATGTTATAATTTTAATTTCAAACAGTTATATGTTTAAAAGTAACATGAAAAGGGCCTTTAAAAGGACAAGATGGCCTTTTGCATTTAGCCAGATATTTGCCATTTTTGATGCTCTTTTTCTTTTCTGGGTCTGAGTTTCCATCTGGTATCATTTGACTTCAGCCCGAAGAACTTCCTTTGCCATTTCCTATAGTGCAGGTCTGTTAGTGACAATTTCTTGTAATTTTCTTTTATTTGAAAATCTCCTTACTTTGCCTTCGTTCTTGAAGGACATTTTTGCCAGATGTAGAATTCTGGATTGACAATATTTTTCTTTCAGGTCATTAAAGTATTTGTTCCACTTTCTTTTAGTTCTATGTTTTCTGATGAGAGTCATCAGAAAGTAAAGGAAGAACAAAAGAAGAAAAAAAAAAGAAAATATCATGATAGACATAGAATCTATCATATCAACAGCTTCTATAAACCTCATTGATCACCATTCCAGTTAAAGAGCAGAACTTGTGAGAATAGGTTAAGAAACAACACCCAACTATATGCTGCTTACAACAGATGCACTTTCAATAGAAAGACACAAGTTGAAAGTAAATTGATGGAAAAAGATATGCCACACAAACAGAAACCATAGGAGGGTGAAGTGGCATACAGAAGATACATACAGAAAGGAATAATGAATAACAGAAATATACATAATGTTCTGTTTATCTACCTTTTTCTTAATTTCTTTACAAGACATGACTTTTAAATAAAAAATGTATTACACTGTATAATTGGGCTTGTAATGTACATTGATGTAATATATATGACAATAACAGCATAAAAGTGGTTAAATGGAACTATATTGCTGCAAGTTTCCTCTATTTTATTCACTGTAGTTCAATGTTATCTTAAGCAGATTGTGAAAAGTTAAAAACACAGGTTTCAATTCTTACAACAATTGAAAAATAATGGAAGTATAGCTAAAAAGCCACTAGAATACATAAAATCATAAACAAAAAGTATTTGCTTGAAACAAAGGAAGGTAGGAAAGGAGGCCCAGGAATGAAAAAGAGATGAGACCTCTCAAAAACAAATAGCAAAATGATAGACCCAAATCCTACCATATCAACAATCATATTAAATATAAATTGACTATAATTCCAATCTAAAGTCTGAGATTATCAGGCTGGATAAATATCAAGACAGACTATATGCTCTATGTAATGGAAAAAATTAAAATACAAACCAAAAATAAGTTAAAAGTTAAAGGATGGAAGAATAGACCATGTAAATAGAAAGCATAAGAAAATTGGAATGTCTGTATTACTACAAAGCAAAATAGACTTTAAGAGAAGGAGTATTGCTAGAGACAAAGGACTTTTTACAATGATAATAGGTCACTATCACAAGAAGACAAAAGTAATACATGTATAAATATCTAACTATAGAGCTCCACAATAGATAGAGCATAAAGAACTGAAAAAGAAATAGATAAATTAACAATTTTATTTATAGATCAATACTCCTATCTCATTACTAGAACAAGTAAACAAAAAATAAATATGAACATAGAGGAGTTAAACCATATTATAAGCCAACTTGACTAATTCATATGTATTGAGTACCACATCCAGCAAGAATAGAATAGACTTTTTTTCAAGTGTACATGGAACATTCACAAAAATAGACCATATTCTGGGCCTAAAACAAGTCTCACTAAATTTAAAGAGATTGAAATTATAGAGTACACTCTCTGATAACAGTGGCATTAAATTAGAAATCCATAACATGAAGATATCTGGAAAATCCCCATATATTTGGAAATTAATCAAGGTACTTCAAACCCATAGGTTATCATGAAATCACAAGGGAAATTAGAATTCTTTTTAATTGAATGAAAATGTAATCTAAATTGGTAAGATGCAGGAATAGCAGTGTTTAGAGGCAAATTTATAACATTACATGGATAATAAAAGACTATTCTGAACAACTGAAGCAAATAGATTTGATAGCTGATATTAAATGGACAAATTCCTTTAAAGACACAAATTAGCAAACTGAATTGAGAAGAAATAGGAAAGGATGAATTAAAGAAATTAAAATCATAATTCAAAACTATTCCACAAAGAAAAATCCAGGCTCAGATGGTGTCACTGGTGAATTCCATCAAACATTTAAGTATTAACACCAGTCCTACACAAACTCTTAGAAAAAATAAAGGAGGAAGAAACACGTTCCAAATCATTTTATGAGGGTTATATTATGCTGATACCAAAACCAAACAAAGACATCAAAAGGTGACTTCAGACCAATGTCTCTCATGAATCCTTAAGTAAATATCAGCAAATTGAATCCAACGCATTATGACCCAGTAAGTTTTAACTCAGAATGCAAGTCTAGATGAATACATAGACATCAATCTAATGTATCACATTAATAGAATAAAGAACAATGACCATAGGATCACCTCCATGCAGAAAAAGCATTTTAAAAATTCAACACCCATTCATGATAAAATCTCTCAGCAGACTAGGAATAAAAGACCACTTCTTTGATTTGATCAATGGCATCTTTGAAAAACCTACAGCTGACATCATACTTTATAGTGAAACTGAATACCTTCTACTCAAGATATGGAACAAGACAAGGATTTTGACTTTCACCGTTTCTATCACACACTGTTCTAGAGGTCCTAGCCAGAGTATTAACACAAGAAAAAGAAATAAAAGGATATGAATTATAAAGAAGAAGTAGAGCTTTAATATGCAGCTGACATGACCATGTATACACAAATTCCTAAGGCGAGAAAGCTTCTAAAACTAATAGGTGAATCTAGCAAGGCCTCAGGATACAAGGCCGATTGTATTCCTAGGTACCAGCAACGTAAAATTTGGAAAATGAAAAATTCTAAATTCCATTTATAATAGCATCAAAATAAAATATTTAGGTGTCAACTTGAAGAAAGTGTGCAAGATCTGTACACTGAAATCTACGTAGCACCACTGAGAGAAAGTAAAGAAACACTAAATAAACAGAGAGGAGTACCATATTCAAGGATTGGAATACTCCATATAGTTGTCATCAATCCTCCCAAAATTGATCTATAGACTAAATGCAATTCAATCCTCAACCCTAAATGCAAATCAAAATTCCAAATGGTTTTTTAAATGGAAATTGTTTATTCTACAATTTATATGCAAATGCAAAGGACTTTGACTAGTCAAAATAATTTTTTGAAAAGAAGAAGAAACTTGGAGGATACACACGACTTGATTTCAAGACTGACTACAGGCTCCAGTAATCAAAATAAAGTGATGTTGGCATGAGGATGGTCTAGATCAACGGAATAGAATCAAGAGTCTATTGGGCTGGCCCGGTGGCCCAGCGGTTAAGTTCACATATTCTGCTTCTCGGCGGCCCAGGGTTCGTCGGTTTGGATCCCAGGTGTGGACATGGCACCACTTGTCAAAAGCCATGCTGTGATAGGCGTCCCACATATAAAGTAGAGGAAGATGGGCATGGATGTTAGCTCAGGGCCAGGCTTCCTCAGCAAAAAGAGGAGGATTGGCAGCAGTTAGCTCAGGGCTAATCTTCCTCAACAACAACAAAAAAGAGTGTATAAAAAGAACTATACATATATGTTCATGAAAAGGAGTCAAGATAATTCAATGGAGAAAGGATAGTCTTTTCCACAAATGGTGTTGGAACAAATAACCACAAGGAAAAGAATGAACATCACATACAAAAACTACCTTGAAATGAAGCGTAGACCTAAACATAACATCTCAAATTATTAAGCTTCTAAAACAGTGCTATCCAGTAGGAGTATCATTTGAACCATAAATTTGAGCCACAAATGTAACCTTAAATTTTTTAGTGGCCACATTTTAAAAAGTAAAAAGTAATAGGTGAAACTAATGTTAATATTTTATTTAACTCAAAGCAATCAAAATATTAAAAATTAAGCACATAACCAATAAAAAGATTACTGATGAAATATTTTACATTCTTTTTCTCATAGTTTACTTTTCTTGAAATTGTTTTGAGCCTCCAGGAGTTGAAAAGTCCTTAATTTTATGTCCTGCCATGTGGTGAATTTACTACAGATCCAGCTATCCTAGGATTTGCTGACCACATGAAAATCACCCCTCACACTGGATGCAGGAGTCAGTGAGCACAGAGACAGAGCTGGGGTAGAACCCCACCTCAGCTCCCTCCCTCCTCTCCCAACCTTCCTCCACTCACGAGCCCTTCATCCCCCTGCAATCTCCAGGATTTCATGAATCCCCAGAGACAAGGGAATAGTTCATGAGATACACAAACCCAGATCCCCACAATTCCTCTACAGGAAGTCCTTCCTGCAGTCTGCCCACTCCCATTCCTGCTGGAGCCTCAGTGCTTCCCCAGTAGAGCCCCAGGTCTGTGCAGAGGGTGATCTAGAACACGCTTCCTCCCTATAACCACAGGGTTCACTCCCTCACCTCCTTCAGGACTTAGCTCAAATATCACCTCCCAGGAAAGCCTCCCCTGAGGATAATATTTAAACTTACAACCAGCTCCCTCATCTTCCCTGCCCTGTTCTTCTCAGCACATACGCTCCGTGAGGGCAGGGTTTTGCCTGAGTTGGTGTGATACATCCCACAGGACCTAGAATAGTGGCTGGCACAGAGCAGATGCTCCATAAGTATTTGTTCATGAATGAAGAAGCGTAGGGACCAGATCTCCTCAAAGCTGAGACTGACACAGACAGGAAAGTGGTTCCCTGGGAACTGGCTGGGGGATGGGGTGTCTCTTTCTGTTGGGAGGGGGAGGAGCTGCTCACTAGCTCATCCCAGGCCTGGAGCCAAGCAGACAGAAGGCCACACAGAGACCCTCGGCACTTCTCATGCCACCAAAAGCACAAGGCCACGGACTAAGCCAGACCACCAGCTGCCTCTGCAGACCCCTGCACTCCGAGGGCACCCTGGATAGCTAGCAGGATTCTTAGGTGAAGTCCTCCAGGGCCCAGTCTTGTCTCCAGAATCAGCTGATTCTGTGCAGCTGGAAGGCGTGGCTCAGCTGCAGCCTGAGGGTCCCTGGGGAGCCCTCCCATGACCTGTGACCCCCAAACTCCTAGGTCATTCAGCAGGCCCAGAAATTAGATTTGGGTCCAGAACTGTAGGACCTTCAATTTCAGGCTTGGAGGTGGCAGGCAGCAAGGCCCAAGGGACCCAGTCAGCAGGTCAGTGTCTGCTTACGTCCACCAAGGGGAAGAAGAGGCCGGATGCCGGGGTTCAGGGCTGAGGAAGAGGGTAGGGTTGCCCTCCAGGCTCCAAGATGGTGAATGGTCTAATACCTGGAGAGAGTTCCACCTTTGGCATCCCTGGGTATGGTGTTTGGATGTGTGGGTCCTGGAGGCTGGGGAAAGGAAAGGGACACATTCGGGTTCTGAGGGGAATGTTAGGCAGAAGCCTGGGCCCTGACTCGTCGTCAATCTCCTTGCAGCCCACTGTAGTCTCCAGGCTTCACTCTACATCCTGTGCTCTGTGCTCCAGGAATGCAGTCTCCGTGGCCACAAGCAGCTGGACAGCTCCCTGACCGGGATCCCAGGGCAGCTCTTTTTGGGGCAGTGACTCTTGCTGTCTTAGCAAATAAAGGGAAGGTATCCAGGTAGCTGAGGGCTGTGAAATGGGGATGGACCTGGATCCAGCTGTGAAGTCATGGCTCAGGGAGTGGGACTCTGGAAACCCTGGCATCACTGCCAGGGCTGTCCCTTCCACGGAGGCACAGGCCTTGCTCTCCTCTGCTCTCAGTTCCTTGATTCTCCCTGTTACCCCAGCATAAGGGGGTCGGGAGTGGAGGGGAAGGTCTTGCTCTGGAAAAGGGAAAGCCCCTTATTCACCTCGCTTCTCCTTTTCTTGTCTCTCTCTTCCATGCGTGTTTGAGTTAGACCACACCAGTAAGTAAGAAAAAATGCCTAAACCTAATTATAGTTTACCAGCCAGTTATGGAGCTAATAGCTGTATAATTATCACCCAGGTGAAAACAGAGCCCTCAGTGCCCCAGACAGGAGCCCCTGTGCCTCTCCCCACACAGTACCCACTCCTCCTTCCATAGGTGTCCACTAAGCTGACCCCTTCCCCTGCCCCATCCTCTCGGGTTCCTCCCCCTCCACTGCTGTTGGCCTCCATTCCCCTAATGCCCCTCCCGCTCCTCACTCCTCAAGGAACTTCCCCATCTTCCTAGGCCATTACCCCGGGGATCTCTTCCTCCTCTTCCCCCTTTCTACCCATCCTGGGAATGGAGAATCCAGAATTGATTCCCTGGAGGAGGAGCCTTCAGCCATAGAAGCAGCAGCAGGTACAAGTGACAGGGACTCTGGGGTTCAAGGTCTCATCCAGAAGACTGAGGACATCCAGTATGTTTGTAGGGTCCACTCCAGACCTGGGAACCAGCTGTTAGGGACAGAAGAATTGTTCCTCCCTGAGGCCACAGTCCATTGTCATTCAATGGGGAGGAAAACGTCTATGTCCGCGTGTATTTTGGGAAACAATTCAGACTCTGATCCTAACACTGGATGGGGCCTCCCTCCTGTGTGCACAGCCCTGTCCTGCTGCTAGGAGCCCAGGGAGACACTGGGGAGGTCCTGGGGGAAAGGCCAAAGGGGAGTTCTGGTCTTCCATCTTCAGTCCTGTAGCCACACAGGGGCACCACCACTCTGCTCTCTCCTATTCCCACAGCCAGGGCAGAGGATGGGCTGTGGTCTGAGTCAGACAGAAGTGGCTGACCTGGAGGCTGGACATCAATGAGGGATGAGGATGCCTTCTGAGTGGCCCTGGGCTCAGGCTCGGGGGTGGGGCATGGATTGGATGAGAGGGGATCTCTGGAGCCCTGCCCTGCGTCTAAGGCTTCCATCTTTTCTCCCACAACCACTCTCTCCAGCCCCTTGGTGATAACACCCTGGAAAACTGAAAAATAGATCATGTTTTTCTTCCACTCCCTATTCCTTTTCTGAGGGCTTTTTTTTTTTTTTTTTTAAGATTTTTTTTTTTTTCCTTTTTCTTCCCAAAGCCCCCCAGTACATAGTTGTATATTCTTCGTTGTGGGTCCTTCTAGTTGTGGCATGTGGGACGCCGCCTCAGCGTGGCTTGACGAGCAGTGCCATGTCCGCGCCCAGGATTCGAACCAACGAAACACTGGGCCGCCTGCAGTGGAGCGCGCGAACTTAACCACTTGGCCACGGGGCCAGCCCCTCTGAGGGCTATTTTTAAAAACAATCTCTTTTATTTTAGAATACGAGTTTGAGATTTACAAAAAAGTTGCAAAGTAGTACAGAATTCCCGTATATACCACACTCAGTTCCCCGATATTAACATCTATATCACGATCATATATTTGTCACAACTAATGAAGCAATATTGATACATTATTACTAAACTGCAGACTGTTTTTGGATTTCATTAGTTTTCTTTTTTCTATTCCAGGATCACCCTATGATACTACATTAGGTTAAGTCCCAATCACGTCTCCTTTAGGTTCCTCTGGCTGTGACGGTTTCTCAGACTTTCCTTGTTTTTGATGACCTTGACAGTTTTGAGGAGTACTGCTCAGCTATACTGCAGACTGTCTCTCAACTTGAGTTTGGTTGACTGGGACTATGGGTTTTTGGGAACAAGCCCAGAGGGGTGAAGTGCCATTCTCAACACAACTTATCAAGCATATATAATACCCACTTGATGGATCACTGATGATGTTAACCTTCACCACTTGGCTGAGGTCGTATTTCCCAGCTTTCTCCCTGTGAAGTTCCTTGTTTTCTTCATCCTTTTCCACACAGTAGTCTTCGGAAGGAAGTCACTATGTGCAGCCCACACTTAAGGGGTGTTCTGCTTTAAACATTTACATGCACGTTTTGGTGCAAATGTAAGTTTTCAAGTGATTTTGGGTAAATACCTAGGAGAGGGATCGGTAGGTTGTATGGTCAGTCTACATTTAGCTTTACAAGAAACTGCTGAATATCTTCCATAGTGGCTGTGCTATTTTGTATTCTTGCCCACGATGAATGAGGGTTCTTGTTGCTCCACGTCCTGGGCAGTATTTGGCATCACCAGCTTATGGATTTAGGCCATTCTAATAGGTGATTACTGGGATATCACTGTTATTTTCTTTTGCAATTCCCTAATGACATATGAAGTTGAGCATCTTTTCATATGCTTATTAACCAACCATAAATCTTCTTTTTCAGGTGTCTGTTCAGGATTTCGCTCATTTTTAATTGAATATTTGTCTTCTTATTACTGAGTTTTAAGAGTTCTAAATATATTTTAAAATAAATCCCTTATCAGATATGTGATTTGCAAATATTTTCTCCCAGTCTGTGGCCTGAGCCCTTTAATTGACATAACAGTATACATTAACACATAGATAAATTCTTCTGGGAATAGAAATGAGGAATTGCTAACTGCGATGGCTTCTGGGTTCAGGACATGGGTGACATGACTCATTTATTTTTGTATATTCTTGAGGCTTATTTGAATTCTCTTGTGTGTGCATGAATAAAGTTTTCAAAAATAAATTATATTAAATTCCCTTACACTTGTAAAACTCTTGACAGATCACCCTCGGATCGTGATTTAAGATTCAGATTCTGATCCTCTACTAGAGGACCAATTACCTTTTCACTCAACTATTTTGCCTTAGAATTTCCAGTTCTGAAAGGGTGGGCTAGATTATAAGGATAAATCCTCCCACTGAAAATAGCTAAAAATGCCACACAAACCACAAAAAGCATCTTCTTAAAAGCATCAGAGCTGACAAGTTACTAATAAATGACCACACCCCAAAAAGAAGGGAAAGATCCTGCTTGGCCTCCACAGAGAACAGCGTCCTGAGAGACGGAGAAAAGGCTCTGTGAGCTCATTGCCCAGACACGGAGCCCAGCACTTCCAGCTCTGAGCCCCGAGCTCTGGACTTTCCTACCCATCTGTCTCCCTTTTAAAATGTAAACAAAGCTTTTATATTCTGATTATGATTTATACGTACGATGTACTATATATGATATAATGTATATTCACTATAGAAAGATTATAAAATGTTAAAAGTTATACATGACAAAGTAAAAATAACTGTAATCCTCACACTTGGAGATATTCTCTTGCAGTTTCTCCCAGTCTATTATATATCCTCCTGCTGCTGCCCCAGGGCTGGAACTCTCTCTCTAAGTTGATGAGCACAGAGCCCAGTGGGCCCCTGCCCTGCTCTCTCCAGATGCCATCTCCAGAGGCAGTTCACTCTCACACCTCCTGAGGGGACCATTTCTCACTTTCTCCTCCCTCCTCAATCCCCCCCCCCCCACTCCCTCTCCACTCCCCACTCTCAGGCGATGAGCTTATTTCTTTTTTCACTCAGAGAAAAGAAGACTAGGTGAGAACTGCACCATCATCCCCCTACACCCCACATCTGTACCTGTATCCTCTGCCTTCACAGCAGTGATGATGGATGGTCCTGCTCCTGTAAGGCCACCTCTCAGCTTGGGTACAGGATCAGGTCCCCTCCCTCCCCTGCATCATCAACTTCCTGCTCTCTACTGGCTCATTCATTCCTGCATACAGACATGCTGTAATAGCTCCTGTTTTAAAAGAAAGAAAGAAAGAAACTAAATAAATCAAAACAAAATCCTTTCATAAAAATCCACCTCTCAATCCCATGTCTCCTTCCAACTATTGCTCCATTTCTTTTCTTTTCTTTTCTTTTTTTTCAAAGATTGGCCCTGAATTAACATCTGTTGCCAATGTTCCTCCTTTTTTTTCCCTTCTCCCCAAAGCCCTCCAGTACATAGTTGTATATTCTAGCTGTAGGTCCTTCTGGTTCTGCTACGTGGGACACCGCCTCAGCATGGCTTGATGAGCCGTGCTACATCCACACCCAAGATCCCAGCCAGTGAAACCCTTGGCCACCAAAGCAGAGTGCACGAACTTAACCCCTCAGCCATGGGGTCAACCCCTATTGCTCCATTTCTATGACACTCCCTATATGACAATTCTTAAGTCCATTCTTTCACCTACCATGTTGTCTTTTTATTTTTAGCAAATATGCATTTGCATATAGTTTAAAAGGTCCAATACCTCTACAAGGCTTGTTAGGAAGACAGATGTTCCCCGCCCCCTCGGCCACATTTCCCGAGTCTCAGAGACAACTGGTTTTAGTTCTTTTAGCCGCTTCTCTAATTGTTACTTCTCTGCCTCTAAATAGAATACTTATAATACTCTTTCTTTTGTTTTTCAGTTTTATGCATCATCTTTAGCAAATTGGCTCTTCTTTCACACACCCCTATCCTCCCAACATAATTACTTTACAATTTTGATGAGCTCAATGTGCCACGTCTGCATTATTATGACCATGTAAACGTTAGTCACAACTGAGCTTTTAGTAGACTGTGATTACTTTTCCTTTCTTGAATCAACTTTTTATGTGCCTTGGAGTTAGTAAATACCTTGTTTCTTCATTTGCTTGGTTTAAATGATTCCACTACTCTCCCCAGGATCTAAATGTTCATGAACATATTTGAGCAAATCTGGTATGCTACCAGCTTCAACTCTTCACGGACACCTGTCCCACAGCCCTCAGTCCTGCCCCACGTGGACTGGTTTCCTGCACACCCGAAGCAGGGCTGACATCTTCGATCTCCTTCACTTCATCCTGGGAACCTTTGACTCTCTCTTGTTCTGGCTCGCCTGTTGCCTAGATCCCATTTTTCCCCATTTTTGGTTTTGTCCATCCTTGTTCCCCACTTTGCCCAGTAATATCCTGAGGAAAGGAACATGGAAAATAAAACATTGAAACTCTAAACATCTAAAATGTCTTTAGGCTGCCTTAGCCCTTACTCACATCTTGACTGGATATAGAACTCTGTGTTGGAATATTTTTCCCTCGGAATCTGGAAGGCATTGCTGCAATGTCTTCTAGCCTCCAGGCTTGTGTTTGTTGCCTCTTCAAGATTTCAAGGTCTCTTCTGTTCCACCATCTTTCTGAAACTTCACTGTGATTGTCATGGTGTGGGTCTGTCTTCATCTACTGTAGAAAGAACTTAAGCCATTCAAAATGTAAATTTTTGTCTCTAAACTCCAAGAAATTTTCTTGAAATTTTTTCATAATTTCCTACCCTCCATTATTTCTGAAAGTGGTTTTATTAACATGTTGGAATCCCTTGATTGATAGACTGATTTTCTCGTAGGTCTTTTCTTCAGCTTGCCATGACTTTTCCATCTGAACTATTTAGTGGGAGTATGACTTCAGAACACGTGTGATTATCTTCTTAGGATAAATTCCTAAAAGAGAATTTTCTGTGTCAAAATGTACACACATTTAGGGGCCAGCCCAGTGGCATAGTGGTTAAGTTCGCATGCTCCACTGCAGGGACCTGGGGTTTGCAGGCCCAGATCCCAGGCATGGACCTGGCACCACTCGTCAAGCCATGCTGTGGCGGCATCCCACATAAAATAGAGGAAGATTGGCACAGATGTTAGCTCAGCAACAATCTTCCTCACAAAAAGTAAAAATTAAAAAAAATGTGAGCACATTTAAATTGTTGAGATATTTTTCAAAAGCTCCCTCTAAAGATTTTGTGTGTTTTCCAGTCTATTAATCTTTATGACATATATTTTCCCTCCCCTATGGTTGATACTCTCATGACTTACCTTCATCTTTGCCAAGCTCATAGACTTTTGGTTGTAATTCCCATTTTTATTCCACATTCTCATTTTTGTTTACATTTATTACTAATATATTTATTTGACATTGTCATTTCTGCTTTTCCAGATTGTTTTATAATATTCTTTATTTTTGATCGAGTTGTAGTTATTTTAAAATATTGAATTTAGAAAGAAGAGAAAGCAGCCCCAACATTGGGTACTGGTCTGACACTTACAGCGAGGCCTCAGTGTGGTCGAAAGCTGGCCTGGTGCTCACCACTTGGCATGTTATTCTCCTGTTGGACATAAATCATCTCAAAGAACATCAACATCAGACAAGGACACTCTGAGAATGTGAAAAAGTGAGAGAAAACAAGATCACTACATCACCTAAGCAAAACAAGGAACTGTGAAACTCACAAAATACCAAACATATCCCTCTGCTGGCTCATATGAGCTCCAATTACAGCTTTGTTCTTGCTCTAGTCGGCCACGTCTACAGATAAGATTTATTGAGATGCCCAATCATAGAATTGCCCCCACTTCCTGACAACACCCAATCTAGAGTGAGCCCCTGCTTCTATAGACCCCCCCCCACAAATCACCCAACCAAAGCCCAAATCCCATATATGTTCTTACACCTTCAGACTAAGATGCCCTGTGGTCCCTGTGGTGTGCATTCTCCCTCACAGCAACAAGTAATAAACCCAACTTGTTTGCCCACAGGAGTGCTCCTGGTGGTCTCTGGTTGAAAAACATTGGCCATGTTTTTATCCTTTTGTCTGTCACAATTTTTTGTGTGTCTCTGAGTTTGGTTACTGGCATGTGTATTTATCTTTGTGAGTGTGTGGTTGACATAGAGAAGTTTTATGTTTTCTTTATGGTTTTTCATCTTTGGGTCATGCTTAGAGAATTCTTCACTCCACAACTATAAAACTTTCACATATATTTTCATCTAGGAGAGGGGTACAAGGGTGAAGGGAAATAGAATTGCTTGAATTTGGGCTGAAAGTGTGGGAAGGAGCAATAGGTAAAGAATTCTAAGGTGGTGGCATTCTAAGGTTTACATCTTCTGCTCTATAATTTTACAAGTGGATCCACAGGGCCTACAAGGTAATTGACATACATTGTGTTCAATAAATGCTTCCTCTTAGGCTAAGCGAAGACTTATGTCCCTACTTATGTTGACCAGGTTAATGAAAAGAACACCAAGAGCCCCAGTGTAATATACATAAGGATTAGCTCCACTGATGGGCATTTTTGAATACTTATGGCCTTAAGGTAATAAATCACGTTTGGGTTAATGTCTGTACACTCTAGTTGTTAAAATACATGTTAATTCAACTTCTTGGGCATGCTGTATTTTAAGGATATGTCTAAGACCCACATGGACAAATCCATGCCCCCATATAAAGATAATTTTAATATACATCAAACTGTGAGTCACACAGTATCTTTTTTAGGGGAGGAGACTGAAAACTAAGAACATCCTGGATATGCGCTGTCCACTTTGGTAGCTACTAGCCACAGATGGTTACTTAAGTTTAAAGCAAATAAAATTAAAAGTTCAACTGCTCATCACAGTAGCCACATTTCAAGTGCTCAACAGCCCCATGTAGCTACTGGTTTCCACATTGGACAGTACAGACAAAGAACAATTCCTTCATCGCAGGACATTCTGTTGGACATACTGCTCTTCATACATTGTGGGTCTCAAGCCAGATGCATGAGACTCATGTAAAATGAAAGGGCCAATATTATTTCTCTTAGAGATACGTCAGATTTCTATCTGAGATGTGAATACATATTAAGCTGGTATGTAACAAAACCAACAAATGTTGTCAGTGGTCTGGTGCCTTCACACATAAACTTGTCAGTTCCAAAGGGAAACCCCTGTCCCTGCACCTCCCGTCCCAGACTGAGGACACTCTCTGGCATCAAATTTCCAGCAGGTGAGTTCAGGGGAGACTAGGGGCAATGCTCTAAGCTGAGTTTGGGGAGGCAAGGAGTCCAAACTCAGTGAGTGGGATTCTTGGAAATCAAGAGGAGGCAAAGATGGGGACCCACTGGCAGACTCTCCCTGGTTCATTCAGAACAGCAGTTCTCAAAGTGTGGTCTGTGGGACCCTTGAAGTCACTGAGACCCTTCCATGGGAGCCATGAGGTCAAAAGTCTTTTACTAGTATTACTAGACATTATTTGCCTTTTCACTATATTGACATTTGCACTGAGGTAAAACTGAGTGAGAACGGAGGCTGTGGTACCAAACTGCTATCGTTGCTATCTCCAGCACCACTTACTTGCAGAAAAACAAAACAAAAACAAAAACCACTTACTTTAAAACGTCCTGGTTGAAGCACTAAAAATTATCTTGACCAAATAATTATTCTTAAATCCACATTTTAAAAATATCTTACATAATGAAATGCAAAGTACACATAAAGCCCTTCTGCTACATTTCCAAGTGCTATGTCCCAAGGAGAATAATTTGCGCAAGCTGAGCCAGCCTCTTTTTTATGGAATATCATTTCTACTTGAAAGAATGAACAACAGGAACTATGATTATCTAGACTTAATTAATTGGCGTACACTTTCAAAATGAACAGGAGCTTCTTCCTTTAAGAAAAAAACCTGACAGGTAACAACTGGCAGTACTTATTGCCTTGATAAAATGGAAGCTCTCGAGAGAAAACCAGAATTCTGAAAAACTTGTGTCCACCGTGTAAGCTTGACAGCTTCCCAGTACTGACAGACTTTCCTGTTGAGATCTGTGGTAATATTAATAAATGTGATATTAGATAATTTGTAGTTAAATGCATCAACACGAAAAGATCTATATAACTTAGGAAACAATGTATTACTTTAAAAATTATACATTAGTACAAGAGCCATTCATTATACAAAATAGGTCTGTGGATTTTAATGTAACAGAATAGGAAATATTCCATGATATTGTCTCAGGTTTCACCTTGCAAATAACCACTGAGAAACTATCACTTGTGTAATTTTATATTAGCATCACAGTTGAACATCCACAATTATCTGAAAAGGTTATTAAAAATGCCACTACATATTTGTGTGGGGCTGTATTTTTTTCATATACTTCAACCAAAATAACAGATTAAATGCAGAGCAAATATGAAAATCCAGTGGTCTTCTCATGAGACAGACAAGAAAGAGACTTGCAAAAATGTAAGATGTAAAAAGACCCACTCTTGTGCTACCTTGTTTATTTTGGGGAATATTTTTCATAAAAACTATAGATAATGAATATTATTCTAAGTAAATCAATTAAAATATTTAAAAACTTTTATTCCTAGTGTGGCAAATATTGATAGATACAACCAACATAAACAAAATTACCCTCGGGGCCCTCGCTAATTTGTAAGACTGTATGGATATCCTGAAGCCAAAATGCTTGACAACCGCTGATTCAAACCGCCCCTGGGCCAGGACACAGGGAGACAGTGTGACAAAGAGCTGTCGGTGCAGAAGGAGAGGGGTCAGGACAAAGTCCCAGGTCCCCGGGCGTGGCTCTCAGGGTCTCAGGCCAGAGGGCAGAGTCTGGGGCGGGGAAGTTCAGTGTTGGGGAGTCCCGTCTCCTGAGTTTCACTTCCTCTCACAACCTGTGTCAGCTCCTCCTTCCTGGAGCCTCATGATGCGCGGCCCCAGTTCTCACTCCCATTGGGTGTCTGGTTTCTAGAGAAGCCAATCAGCATCACGGGGGAGAGGCGGGGGGGGGGGGGGGGGTCCCGGTGACGCCGCAAAATAACCAATAACTATCCCATAGATAAGAGAAATAAGGTGAGTTTACTTGAGCCAGAGTGAGCATTATAAACCTGGAAGGCCTTAGGAAGCGTTCAGGAGAAGCATGGTTTTCAGTACAGTCTTATATCTTTCTAGAACAAAGAACATACATTAAACACACCCAGGATATATTTTCACATTCAGTTACAAATTAGCAGGTCAATATGACTGTGATGTCAGACGTTACCTATAGGACATTACCAACATGGCGTAGGAGGGGAAGTCTGCATTTTTATCTTAAAAGAGTGCATTTTTTACTTTAATGGTTAAGCAGATGTACAACATATGTTTAATAGGCCGCAAGTCAGGCTTTTTAGTTCAAGCCGAATCAGTTTGGAACCAGAATAGTTACCCCATATACCTCAATAGGTGAAAATCTCTTGTCACCGGTTATAAATTCCACACTGGCCAGCAGGGGCTCAGATTCCTCCTCGACCACGAGGATGCAGGTTATGATGCCCCCAACCTTCCTCCTGCTGCTCTCGGGGCCCTGACCCTGACCGAGACCTGGGCGTGTGAGTGCGGGGTCGGGAGGAAACGGCCTCTGCGGGGGGCGGAGCGAGGGGACCGCGTGGCGGTGGCACAGGCACCCAGGTGATGCGGGGTTGGTGAGCCGAGGAGTCGAAAGAAAGATTTCTTAGACTCTTAAGATCTGGCAGTAGTGCTTTTATTTAGAGAATAGAATAGCATGGGGACAGGACCCATGGGCAGTCAGAGCTTCTGCAGCCGCCGCCGCTGCTGCTGCCCCCGCTGTCATGGGGACAGGGCCCATGGGCAAGCAGAGCTGGTGTGTGGGGACAGGACCCACGGGCAGTCAGAGCTCCTGCTGCTGCCCCGAGTTGAGGGTTAGGGCTAATTTTATAAGGCATGGGTATGTGAGTCATTTCTTTACAAGACAAAGGAAAGAACATGAAAAAAGTTAAAATGGTATCAGTGCAGGTGGGGTCTGGTCGTTGGGTGATCCCATGACTTTTAGACAAGAATCAATTTGGATTAAGTAAAGGTCAGAAGCCACCACCCTAAATCAGTTACATGAGATTGCCAGACAGCAACCAACTTAAGTTCTTGCCTTCCCCATTAAGAGTTTCTAGGGATAAGGTCATCTCTCTTCTTCTTCCTGGTACAGAGAGGGAGGCACCTTTTACAGATAGAGATTTACCTTACAAATGTGAATGTGTCCCAACAAGGGCAAGTTCCATTCCCCAGAACCTCCTTCCCTGTCCCAGTTTATCGAAAGCAATCAGCCCAAAACAATCCCGATGCCAAAGAGACATATCCTGGGGTGGCCAATTTCAGGTCCCTACAAGGTCATCCCCCCTTCCTTCACAAATGCAAATGTCTCTCAAAAGGACAAGCAAAATTCCAGTCCTCAGAGTCTGCTTCTCATCTGCAGTTTTAAAAGTAACCAGCCTAAAATCCTCATCACAGGGAAGGCGCGTCTCCGCGGACGCAGCCCAGACCCTCTATCTCGGCCTGACCCCTCCGTTCTCCCGCCCCCTCATCTTTTCACCCCAAGTCCCCAACCTTCTCGGACCTGCCGCCCCTTTTCCGTCTCCCGAGCCCCTTCCCCCTCCCGGCCTCATCACCTTCGGGGACCCGCGCCAGAACGAGGGTTGGGCCGGGGCCGGGGTCTCAGCCCCTCCCCGCCCCCAGGCTTCCACTCCATGAGGTATTTCTACACCGCCGTGTCCCGGCCCAGCCGCGGGAAGCCCCGCTTCATCGCCGTCGGCTACGTGGACGACACGCAGTTCGTGCGGTTCGACAGCGACGCCGCGAGTCCGAGGATGGAGCCGCGGGCGCCGTGGATGGAGCAGGAGGGGCGGGGGTATTGGGAACCGGAGACGCGGACCGTCAAGGGCACCGCACAGAGTTTACTAAAGAAACTGAATGCCGCATGTGTCAACTACAACCAGAGCGAGGCCGGTGAGAGACGCGGGCCCGGGCCCAGGTCGCGACCTCCCATCCCCACGGACGGGCCGGGGTCTCCCCGAGTCTCCGGGTCCGAGATTCACCCCGAGGCTGCGGGACCCGCGCGGCCCCCGACCCGGGAAGAGCCGGCAGGGACTTTCCGCGGTTTCATTTTCAGTTTGGGTTTAATATCTGCGTGTAGGCGGGGCCGAGTAGGCGGGGCTGACCTCTGGGCGGGGTCAGGGTCTCACAGCTACCGGTTGTGTATGGCTGCTACTACGTGGGGCCAGATCTGTGCCTCCTCCGCGGGTACAGACAGGTCGCCTACGACGGCGCCGATTTCATCGCCCTGAACAAGGACCTGCACCCTGGACCGCGGCGGACACGGCGGCTCAGATCTCCCGGCGCAAGTGGGAGGCGGCCGGTGTGGTGGAGCGCTGGAGTAACTACCTGGAGGGCACGTGCGTGGAGTGGCTCCTCAGATACCTGGAGAACGGGAAGGAGACGCTGCAGCGCGCGGGTACGAGGGGACACGGGGCCTCCCGATCTCCTCTCGGGTTGGGGGCGTCAGACAAAGAGAGAAGGAAAATGGGATCACTGTCAGAATACTGTCTCTCAGGAGGGGGAGGAATCCCCCCAGGTTTTCATATTTTGTGATAGTGACTTGCACAGAGGGCCTGCCGTTGTTCTCTAAAGGACACTTAGGGAATCCAATTTCTTCAGGGGTCGAAGGTGAGACCATGCCTGAAATTGCTCATCATTGGTCCCCTTTGACCCTGTCAGCGAGATCTTATGAACCGTGATTTCTCAGGGTTTTGTTCTCGCCCTGAGAACGTCTTTGCAGGCCTGACTCCAGCTTTTCTGAGTCGTTCACCCTCCACCCAGGTCAGGACCAGAAGTCTGTGTTCTCCTCCTTTGAGACCTGGCGTTTTACCGTGGACTCTCACCCTGATTCTAGAACTTTCCAAAAAAAAGATTATTCCAGATCCTCAAGTCCAGGCTGCTGTCTGGCTTATGTGCTTCCTCCTTCCGAACTAATTGTCCTGTCCATTCTCAGGATGGTCACGTGAGTGCTGCTTTAGTGGCCCATGGAGATAACTGAAAGTGTGAATGAATTTTATGATTCTTCCTCCTCAGACGCCCCAAAGACACATGTGACCCACCACCCCATATCTGTCCGTGAAGTCACCCTGAGGTGCTGGGCCCTGGGCTTCTACCCTGCGGAGATCACCCTGTCCTGGCAGCGTGATGGGGAGGACCTGACCCAGGACACAGAGCTTGTGGAGACCAGGCCTGCAGGGGACGGGACCTTCCAGAAGTGGGCAGCTATGGTGGTGCCTTCTGGAGAGGAGCAGAGATACATGTGCCATGTGCAGCTCGAGGGGCTACCCGAGCCCATCACCCAGAGATGGGGTAAGGAGGGAGCCGTGGGCTCAGAGCCTCTTCTCAGGGAAATCAGGAGCCCTTCTGGAGACCTTCAGCAGGGTCAGGACTCAAGCCTGAGGTCAGAGCCCCTCACGTTCCCTTCCATCTCCAGAGCTGCCTCCTGAGTCCACCATCGCCACCCTGGGCCTCATTGTCGGCCTGGTTCTCCTTGGAACTGTGGCCACTGGCGCTCTGGTGGCTGGAGCTGTGATGTGGAGGAAGAAGCGCTCAGGTAGGGAATGGAGTGGGGGTTTGAGTTTTCTTGTCCCATTTGGGGGTTTCAAGCCCAGGTAGAAGTTTGCCCTGCCTCATTAATGGGAAGTCCCATCCACACACGTGTGCTCACCACTCTGGAGCTGATTGTTAACACTCTTATTAAAGCGCTTGTGAAAATGAAAGAGATTTTTTCACCTTGATAATTCTGGTCCTGAGGACCTGATTCCCAGTAGTTGAAGGTCAGAGGGGAAGGTCACCGCTGAGAACAAACCTCCAGGAGGGCAGTCGGTCCAGTCCCCACATATCTCCTTTCTTCGTCTTTCCCAATCCTGTCCTGGGTGTTCAGTCACGGTTCTGGAAACTTCCCTGTGGTCCAGGACTAAGGGGTTCTTCTAGCATCTCATGGCCCAGCCTTCTCTCTCTGTTTTCTTCCCACAGGTGAAAAAAGAGGGGGTTACTTGCAGGCTGCAAGTAAGTTTGAGTTGGGAGGTTGATCCTTGAAACACTCCGGATAGTGTAGACTGGAGCCCATGAGGGAGCTCACTCACCCCATAGTTCTTCCTTTAGTCTCATCTCCTTTGGGCTCTGGCCAGGTCTTGCTTTTGCTCTACCCCAGGCAGTGACAGTGCCCAGGGCTCTGATGTGTCTCTCACAGATCCTAAGGTGAGACTCGAGAGGGTGTGAAGTGGGAGTGGCATTGGAGAGAGGGGACACGACTGGGTTATGAGGATTCTTTGGGACATTTTGAACATGCAGTGGGCTGTTGAGAATATCAACACTGAATGTGACTGACGTGAATTTATTCGTGATTTTCTTTCATGGTGTGAGACAGCTGCCTTGTGGGGACCGACTGATGCAAGATTTGTTCACACTCCCACTTTGGGACTTCACATCCCCTGACTTCGCTCTCAGTAAGTGGCATCTGAACCTGTCTGTGTTCCATTTAGCATAATGAGAGGAGGTGGGGAGACTGGCCCACCCCATCCCCCCCACGACCTCCTCCCCACAGTGACCTTCTTCTTTCCCTGATGACTTTCTTGTTCCAGCAGAGGTGGGGCTGGACCATCCCCATCCCTGTCTTAACTTCCTGTTGCAGAGTAGTAATGATTTGCTTCCTTACTGAAAATAGGAATCTTGATATGAATTTGTTTTTTCTAATTCTTGTCATAAGGGATTTATGTTTAATTAAAGGAGAAGATTCCTAAAGATGGAGAGAGGAAATAAACGGACGCACGGAGAACATTCCAGAATTTGTTTGCTGTGCTGAATCTGTTGCAGGTGTGGACAGGAGAAGGCTGTGAGGAGCCCAGCGTGGAGAGGACCTGTGCCCAGTCAGTGCTCAGTGCATCACGGGCTTTGATATTGTCATTCTTTGTCTGGGTCATCTTTGCTGCTCCTTTGTTCTGGTCTGTTCAGTAGAACCTTGTCCCACCAGGACCTGTGATCACAGGGATGAGGATATCACCTGGACATTGTCTTCAGGACCATGGTCAGTGAGAGCTCTGTCTGGTTGGGTCAGCATAGGCTCTGGCCAGGGTCCAGCCCTCAGCCCCTACATTTTGTGTGTTTGTATTTTGTTTCTTTGGGGATTTTTTTTTTTATTATGTCTAGTTTTTCTTGTTTAGAGTTCTGATCTCATTTTTTTCTGGGTGTCCCCTGTGTCTGACAGCAGCAGGAGTCATTTTGCCTGTCATTGTCCCCACAAGGGCTAAGGTGGCCCCTGCACACAGGAGACTCTGTGGTATCGAGAAATGGATTTCGGACTCATCCAGCTCTTGCCCTCCTTCTAGGGCTGTTTCCTGCATTGTTCTTCCCATCTAGGGATCCGATAGGTTCTCATCTTAGATACATTCCTCTTGTATAACTGTCTTCTCTGCAGCCTGCCCCCTCTCTCTACCCTTAGCTCTAGTCATCCTGGTGCTGGCTCCAATCCAAACTCATGGATTTAGGAAGCTGAGTCTAC